GGGCGCCGGGCCACGTGGGCCGAGGCTCCGCCCCGCCCGGCGCTGAGCAGCCGCGGGTGGGGAGCGCTCTCTCCCCAAGGCCCGCGGGTGGGTAGAGGGCAGCCCTGGAAAGGGCTCTGCAGGAAAGACAGCCCCAAAGATTTTAGGGTGCAGCATGGCGTAGAGGGCAGCAGTAGCGATGAGGCCAGGAAGATGGGTAATGAATTGGAAGTTGTCCCGCACATCCACAGCTGGGGAGGGCTTCCCTGGCCTCCTAGACTCGTGGCACCGTTTCTGGTGTCACAGGCGTGAATTTGAATCTCTGCTTTGTTACTTAGTTGCTGTGCGGCTACGGGCAAGTTATTCTGCCTGTTCTGAGATTATTTACAAAGTAAAAATAGCTCCCAAATGTCTGTGTTTCAGAGCTGATGGGAAGATCACACGCAAAATGAGTGCAAGACACTCACTTAATAGTGAATCTTGTAGTTTCGGGAGCCTGGTAGATACTTTATGACTGTAGTCTTTTTATCAAACCACAAACCTTGAAGAGGTACCATGTCATCGCCCACCGCCCTTTCACAGAGGGGGAGGAACCCCGGGATGACCGCAGGTCTTTTCCTCCACCAAACTCCAACTGGGACCCAAATAGCCACGTACGTGGCCGGCGCGGGAAAAGGAGCTCCTCAGAAGTCAGGACGCGCTGGGCTTCGTGGCCCACCCCTGTAATCTCAGCGCTGAGGCAGGAGGGTCGCTGTGAGTTCGAGGCCAGCCTAGGCTACGCAGTGAGTTTAAGGCCAGCCTGAACTGCAGAGTGAACCGCTGTCTCAAAAAGAAAAAAAAAAAAAAAAAGGACGAGAACGTGGACTTTGCAGCTAGAGAAAGGCACCGGTGTCCCTCAACCCACTGCCACTGCCTTGCTGTGACCTCGATCGGGTTATTCAGCCTGTGAGTCTGTTTCCTCAGCGAAACAGGCGTAATGACAACCTTGCTGGGTTGTAGTGACAATTAGAGAAAATTAAGATAAAATGGAGTTTGGCACCCGGTGAGTACTAGATAAGTGTTAGGACAGAAGACACTACTATCCTCCGAGAGTGTTCTTTCCTAGGGCCAGATTGCTTTCACTGTCTAATGACTAATAGATTGGCACACTGGTCTAAGCTTTTGTCCTGGCCACCTGAACAACCCAGTCCTGGGAGTCCTGACAAGCAATTTCCTTGGAATTAGCTTAATAAGGCCTGGTAGGTGTGTGATGCACTTCAGAGAACTTTCCCACCATTACCTTCAGCTGAGGGAGGCAGCCAGGCAAAGAGAGCACCTCACAGAAGTGAAGTAGCTGGCTCCAAGCCGCCGGACAGAGGAGCGATGCAGCTTTCTTTAGCCCCGTCCTGCAACTTCTGAGCAAGCAAAAACCAGACTTTTGTATTCAGAAATGAGTACAGGCCATTGAGTTTAAATACTTGGATCTGCTGCAGTTAATGATGTCATGTGGGGCCAGGCATCTCAACTACTTCCTCAAAATCAGCTCCCTTTTACAGATGTGGAAGCTGAGGCTCAAAAGAGGCAAAGTGTCTAGCGTGCAGAGACATAGCTGGTACCCTGCAGGCAGGGATTTTTATCCTCCTGTGGCTGTCCCCAGAGCCATCATAGCTATTGTATATTAGGCTTCCCTAATACACAATCTAAAGCAAACCCAGATGGGGTCTTGTATTTGGTTTGGAATAAGGGATTTTCATATAGAGACTAAGGGATTCTGGAGGGTTGAGGGGCTGCTGCTCTGTGAAGTTACGTATATGTATACTTTGTAAAGTGTTCATACTGTTAGATCACTGGAAGAACCAGGACTAGAAACAAGGTGAAAACAACTGGTCAAGTTGGGAGGATGGTTGGCAGAGAAAGAGGCTGTACGCCCCCCCCCCATGCCCCTGTGTGCTCCAGAAAGCTCACCGGGGCTAAGGCACAAAGGGTGATGACATGACATGTTTGTTATGAAACACTGAAGTAACACATGCCAGGGGCCAACACAAAGATGACATCATATCATAAACAGGAATCCGGTGAGGCCAGGTGCCAATGGAGCCCACCTGGGGAGCCACCAGGTGGGGGGCAGTAGGTGATGGCAGTGGTTGATGTCTTGCCTTCTGTCCCACTCAAGTCCTGGTCGCACAGAATGGCCAGTTACAGTCCCTGATCCTGCCCACCTTACACCCACTGACTGCAGTTAAGGTTCAGATCCTATCTCTGCTCTCAGGGGCTGTGAGAACCTGGTCCAGATCCACTGCTACTGAGCCCCCCTTCTCCCTTTTGAAACACAGACAAAAATGCTTACAGAGTAGGTTCCCAGCGGAGGGAGGACAGGGATGCCAGAGGAGTTAAGGGCTGAAGGGTCTCTCCCTCAAATTCCCTGCTCAGGGTCAGAACCTATATTGCATCCGGGAAGAATAGGTACCAGTACTTCCCAACTAACCTACACATCTTTTCAGGGTGGCTACAGATTTGAGGAAAGAGCTCCTGCTCTTCTTTTCCCAACTTGGGAAGCCCAGGGGGAAGCCATACCAGAAAGCATGAAGGAAATGAAACCAGGCCCCATGCTGAATTTATTCATCTCTGAAATGGGTCTATCAACCACCACCCATGACAGCACCAGATGAGGCTAACTCAAGGCGCCACTCTTTACCACATCCCCTGCTAGAAAGGCATGGTGAGTAACTAATGACATCGAAGAGGACAGCCACTGCCAGGTCTCAAAGGAACTGAGAACTCACCTCCCACCTTGCTGGGGGAGCTTGCGCCAGTCTATGTCAGATGAGAGGGCAGGACCGGGATCTTTTCTCTGCTGGACCCCCAGTGCATTTGGGGATCCTATCATAATCCTTTTCCACCACCTCATCCCACCCTGCCTCTCAATTTCAGCTGTGATTTTCTCACCTCAAGGGACTAAGTCTGCTTTTCCCGAGCACCAAGGATATTCATTTTCCTAAAGCTACCACGTGAGAAATAGCATTAATACTCAAAGAATGAGGAGGCCAGTGATGAGACCATAAAGTGTTTAAAAATCGTTTTTATTATGTAAAATGTTAACTTTTATAAAAAGTTCAATATACATCGCATGATTACAGAAAGTCACCTTCCTGCAAAAAAGGTACAAAAGCTATATACTCTATTATAGAGTTCATAATCTGGGAAACAGAGCCTTTCTCCAAGGAGACCAGAAGACCAGCTCTAACACCGCCTTGGCAGAGTTCGGAGAGCAGCCATCCCCTACTCCCCAGCCCTCCACGCTCTGAAAAGATAAGTCTTTAAAACTTGGGGGTGGGGTGGGGGCAAGGTGGCGTTGCCCAACTGGTGGCCAGCGCTAGCTCTGGCTCTTCAGGCCACCCAAGTTCACAGTCCTTCACTCCGGGGCGCCGGGTCCAGCCTCGAGGCAGGGGTTTGGGGAAGTAAAGTGGGCCGGGCGAGGTTGGGGCTCATCCATGCCCTCGGGCTTCCGGCCGGAGAGAGTCCCCGGGTCCCAGGCGGAACGGGCGCCAGCACCTGCGTTCTGGGCGAGGGAGGAAAGAAGACCAGGGAGCCGTCAGTTTCCGCCGAGCGCGCCGAGGCGGGGGCCGTCCGCAGACTGGCCGGCGCCAGGGAGGAAACTTGGTCTCTACCTCCAGCTGATAACTCCGCGCCCCACATAGCCCCCACCCAGTTGGTGCCAAAGGACCACAGGCCGAGCTGCCGCTATCCCTCTCCCTTGGAAGTGACACAGTTTGGAAGGGGGCTGAGGCAGACACAACTCCCTTTCCCGCTTCAAACAAAAAGGCTATTTAGTGGGACCTGGGTCTACTTTCCCCGGTCGTTGGCCACTGGGGTAAGGGCAGGGCAACGTGAATTTAAGACTGAAGCGCACACTAGATAGAAACGGTCGGTTTTGCCGTTCATTTGAAGAGACCATCTTACTTGCCCCTCTGACCTTGGCTTCCCTAGCAGTCCTCAACAGGGCCAGCCAACTCCCTTAGGCCATATAAGCCTTCGTCCTCGCCCCACCAAGGAAGGGATACTTACCTAGAGGTGCCAGGACGCTGGGTCAGTGGCAGAAGCTCCTCTTGTCGTTGGAGATCACAAGCTCCGGAGCAAGCTCAGAGGTCTGAGAAGGGAGGACAAGGGGAGAGTTACGCGGAGGACTCCGAGACCTCTGCGGGGACCCGCAGCATCCTATCTCTGGCGCTCAGCTCCGCCCCGCCCCGGCTCCCACGCGCACCTGGATGGGGAGATGCGGACCGTCTGGGGGTCCAGGGGCCGGCTCAGCCAGGACCACCTGCAGGTCGAGGATGTAGTCGATGACGCGCTGCAGGATTTCCACCTGGCTAAGCTGGGTGCCTCGCGGGACCCCGGGCACCAGTTCCCGCAGGCGCGAGTAGCAGTGGTTCATGTCGTCCAGGAGGCTCAGTGGCTCCTCGGCAGCTGGGCTCTTACCACGGCCCCGCGCGATGGCCAGACTGCGTTCCGACAGGCAGCACACCGCCTCGTAGCAGCCGCGCACGGGGCTCAGCGCCTTCATATCGGAGATTGAGACTGGAGGTCCCGAGAGAACCAAAAAAAAAAAAAAAAAAAAAACCAAAACTGACCCACTGGAGAAGCTTGAAATGCGCGCACGCCCGCTGCTGCCCGCTCTTATAGAACCCGCCTCAAAGACACGCCCCTTTATTCAAAATAACCCGCCCCGGCCACGCCCCGACAGTCTGGCCCTGCCTTCCCCAACCTTGGGCGTTCACAACCCGCTTAAATTGCTAACAGGCTTCCTCCCGCTGGTCTGACGCCGAGAAGACCGCGGAGCCACGGATTCAAAGAATGAGGAAGCGCTGATACTGGGGAGAGGCGGGCCTCTTCGCCAGCAAGGATTTTAAAAATCACTTAAAACCATTAACTTTCAGAATTTGCCTTTTCCTGGCAGTGCCCCAGATCTTTGAGCTGCCCTACCCCCTGCCAGTCCACTCTTATCCCCACACTGGTTCGAACCCACAGCTCCTCCGAGGTCATAAATCCCTGAACAGCTAAGTTTTTTTTTTTTTTTAAGCAAAAGATTTTTCAAGGGAAACTTGTAAGGAATTAGTGCCGCCTTGTTCCCCAATTTGCTGTTCGTCTGACCTCCAGACTCACTGGCGTCAGGAATTATCTTGTGACCAGAGGGAAAAAAAATTAATTGCGGTGAAGCTGAGGTTACAATGAAGAAAACAGATTTGGGCTAGGCGCTGAGATTGCAGAAGGAGGAGGGGAAAAGGGTTTGAGCAAAGAACACTATTTATTTGAGCAACAGGGGGAAAGAAGAAAAAAAAAGAAGAAGAAAGCTGCCTTGAATTCATGCGTTTTGCATGGAGAAAGAAAAGAGCTTGGACCTTTTGCCCCATGAAACTTTATAAGGAACCAAATGTATGCCCAGCCGAGCTTCGAAAGCAAATTTGACTAGAATTCTGTACAGGGTTTCAAATATGGGGGACAAGAAGGAACAATTTCTGTATAAACTTTTTTAGGAGTTCCCTCCTCTTTGGGTCAGCAAATCTATTTTAACTTTTGCTTCCCCATTTGTCCCCAACTTTCCACATACTTCTGTGCAGAAAACAATGATAATCTCATCACTCTGTTGTCTGTCCCTTTCTGTTGTGGAAGGGTAGTCACCTGGACTTGATTATTCTTAGCCTTGCTGAAGTAGCTCCAATTCTAAGAGACCAGAAAAGACACTGGTGGGCAGGCAAGCTAAAATCTCGTATTGCAAAAGGACACACTGTGTTCAATATTCTTTGCTTGTCTTCTTGTCCCTTCCCAGGATTTTGGGGAATCTGCAGTTCCAAGATTCTGGTTTCCATCTTGATAATGACCAAGTGATTGCTCTCTTAATCTATTATCAGTTAGTAAATATTTATGGAGTCACCTTACGTAAAGCAGTGGCTCCTGTTCTCAAGAATCCCACGATTTGGGGAGACAAGATTAACACAGGAAACAATTAAGAGTTCAGTACTGCGTGGCACTGATTAACAGGACAATGGGAGCTCAGAGCTAGGACAGTCTTCAAATAGTTACATAGTGGAAAGGACACTGGACTAGAAATCTTGGGCACGCCAGCTCTGCCAACCATTGGTCAAGAATTTTGAATAAGCCCAGGAACCCTGGCTTTAGTTTGCCTTGTGAGTAAAATGAGGAGATGGTACTAAGTGATTATTTTAAATCCTTCCCAACTCTGTAAGTCGAAGGTTCTGTGAAATTGAAATCAGCAGGTGTGGGGTGGCAAAGGACCCAGAGAGGAGATAGTATAAGAAATGTCTCATACCACACCACAAAGAATAGAAGCCATCATACGAAAGGGTTCTCTCTGTGTGTCTCAGGACAGAGGACTTCAGCCGGGCATGGTGGCGCATGCCTGTAATCCCAGCACTTGGGAGGCTGAGGCAAGAGGATCGTTGCGAGTTCAAGACCAGCCTGGGCTACAAAGTGAGCTCAAGACCAGCTTGAACTACATAGCAAGACCCTGTCTCAAAAAATTAAAAAAAAATTTTTTTTAATTTTTTAAAAAGAGGACTTTAAAAGTTTTCTTCTTGGAATAGTCATGTTTTCAAGGACAGCCTTTTCACTATAAGAAAGAGGGAGAAAGTAACCTGTTAAGGAACAAGTCAGTCTCTATATGCTAAAGAAGCACCAGCTATTTGACCACGGGAGGGAGAAACAGTGGCTGTAGGGACTCCTAAATAATCAGACAGAAGATTCTTTTTCTATCATGCAGATTTCTGGTTTGTGCAAAATAGTCAAGCCAGGAGATTCTAGAAAAAAAAACATGGTCTTCAGAGCCAGACAGATTTACGTTCAAACCTCCATTATTCTCTTTTACTGTGTGAATGTGGGGTAAGTCACCTGTGCTTTAATTTTCCACTCTAAAAAATGGGGCCACACAGACCAATCTCATTCATTCAACAAATAATTATAGATTGCGTCTTCTGTGCTGCAAGGGGCTTGACAAGGCCCCTCCACTAGATCTCTGTCTCCCTGGTGCCTAGGGACCCAGCATGGGGCCAGGTGTGTGGTGGTGCTGGGCCCACCCAGTTCTTTTCTCCCTCCCCCTCCTACATTGCTACTGCTAATGCCTCAGGCTTGTGTCGTGGTTTATGCTTTGTAAATCACCTTCACATTTATTATTTCCCATGATGCTTCCAGGATGAAATGCCCACAGGCTGTGTGTGACACAGGCAGAAGGATGCAGTGGGATTAGCGAGCAGAATTCTGTTCTGTTCGTGCCAGTAACTTGCCCTCAGACAAATTTCTTTTCTTTCTGGACCTTACTTTCTGGACTGGGAATGGGAGGTGGGGGGCACACACAAATGACCTTTAGGAGTCTTCTCCAAACTAAGATTCTAATTCTGAAAAAAAAAAAAAAAAAGCGGGTTACGGTTGGGTTGGGAACGCTGAATAGAGTTCTTTTCCCCCACAGCGGACTGGACAGGCTAGCTCAGGCCTTCTGCAACTTGTTTAGCGGTGGCGGGGCCTCAGCCTCTTATTCCAAATGCCTCTGAACTTTCTGTTCCCAGTTCTGCTCCTTTTACCAGCTTTTTCCCCCCTCTTGCATTTTTTATTTTTATGAAAGGATGTCATTAAGGCTTTTGTCTGCGCTGTTTTTGTTTCAGAACTTTTCTCACAATCCTATTTTTTGTTGAGGAATCCGCTCCTTTGCCCAGCTGTGGGTCCCGGTCCCACAGCTGTGTTGATCTAAGACTCAGCCCCAGACAGCCTGGCGCCAGGGTGGGACGTCATGCGTTCACACAGGGATGCGTGTCCCAGGCAACCTTTCCTCGGGCAGTCACCGGCCGGCGACTGCTTCCCCCACCAATGAGCGCCCGACACCCGAGAAAGGGGCGGAGCCTGCGCCGCCGGACCCGAGAGCTGCTTGTGAATTGCAGATGCTGGGAACTTGATAACGTTCCTTGAATTGGGGCCCTTTAAACTAATTTAATTTCTCTTTCTGTCTCTCTCTCTGTGTGTCTCTCTCCTTCCTTTCTTTCTTCCTTCTTTCTCTTCGTTCTTTCTTTTGTTTATTCATTTTCTTTCCACCTTCTCCTTTATCTATACATGTATACAACTCCCCCCGCCCCTTTTTTTCTTTTAACTATCTCCTCCCAGTGTCAGGAATCATTTTGTAAGCACTTCCAGGAACTGAATCTTCCTCTGCCAAAAATTAAAAAAGGAAGAAAAAGATTTCAGTGATGTGCTCTCTGGTTTTTTGTTTTTTAGGAGTTGGCAGCACTATTAAGTTATATTGTTTTGTCTTCAAAAGTTTAAAATGGGGTGGCAGTGGGGTCTCTGAGCTGTTGATTTCAAAGTGAAAGTAATGATGATGAGGATTGCAGATGTCTTTTTTTTTTTTTGGCCTAGCCTGAGCTTCTATCAATCTAGCTAGCTATCTTTTTCCCACTTACTTTGCAGACTTGGGGATCAAGGGGACCTCGGAGAGTTGCCCAAGACTACTTAGGATGCCAGTGGTTGACCTGTGGCCAGGATCCAGACCTCCTCTTCCTCTGACTCACGGTCCCCTCTGCCTCCTGCCTCTTCTTAGTGTGAGGGTGGTCTGCCCTGGCCTCTGAACATTCCCAGATGCTGAATATCCTAATATGTACCTGCTTGCTTTTAACGTGCTGGAAAGGTATACTGAAGACTTTCCAGCCATACACAGAAAAAACATCCATCCTCTCAGCGGTGCATCTGGACTCCAAAGTACAGTTGGAGACCTAGGCGAACACACAGGAGACTCCAAATCAAGATGCTCAAACCCTTTGCCCAAACTACCCATCCTCACTCAGCTCAGTGGTGTCCTCTATATAAGTGAGAAGAAAAATCATTTCCACTTACTTCACAGCCTGGAGGCTTGTGGGAACAAGGGGCAGAACGTGCTATGAGAACCAATTATTGTTATGTGCTATGATGTGACATCACCCCTACTGAGTGGGAGAGAAGGTGCCAGGTGAGCTTAGTGGTGCCTGCTCAGGCTCTTCTCAGCAATGTAGGCAATACTGGGGCTGGGGATGTAGCTCAGTGGCACAGCGCCTGCCTGGCAAGCACAAGGTCGTGAGTTCGATTCCTGATACTGGAAACAAAACAAACAAACAAAAAACAAAGCAATGTAGGAAATACTGAGGAAGACAATACTGGAAGCGTTGGGACTAGGGTGGACATCTCAGGGGTCTTCAAAATAAGCTACTGTCCAGCTCAGAAGCACTCAGAGCTGCTCTTACTATTATTATATCATTATCATTATTCATTGAGTCCTGTTTGCTGCGACCTGTTTGCCTTCTCACCCACTGTTTGTTTGTTTGTTTTGCAGAGGTGGGTGTCTAACCCGATGCTCCATCCAAGCTGGGCTCTACCATTGAGCTTTACCTTCAGCCCTGTTTTTCTCCTTGCTCTCTTTTATGGACAAGGAGATAGAGGCTTAGGGAGGTGAAAGTGCTTGTCCAGGGTCACATATCTGGCATGTAGCAGATCCAAAATTTGCCCCCAGGTCTGCCTGTCTCCAAGTTTCTGTATATATGCTTTGCCTTCTGACCTTCCAAGGACCTCCTAGGAAGGAAGCTTGGACCTGTGAGGGTTTTTA